ATTATGTACAATAATATATCATATGCAATATAGGTGAACAATTCCACTAGAAAAATTGAAAATAAAATGTATCTAAATACAAATTAGAGACATTGTAATTGATCATTCCATCTTAAATAAATCAACAATGTTTTTCAACAATTTTTAATATCAACTTGAGATTTTTCTTGTTAATATGTTGAATAATTTTAACACATTCCACATTATGGATAAAGAATAGTGAATTTGATAGTGTGATTTTTTTTTTAGACTTAGCATGAGCAAAACAAATTCATGGATTTTGATGAAAAAAAAAGAAAGAGAAAAAGAGACCCCAGAATGTCATATTACATGAAAAATTTTAATCCTTTAATAGTGCTTAGTTCAATTTGTAATGTATAAATGTAGGTAGAAAAAAGCTAATGTTGGTAAGCTAGCAAGATTCACAAAGTATTGCCTGGGGACCCAAATCAAGCATGGGCATCCCGGTTGGAGAGTTTGTCTGAAGCGTGTGGTAGCACTATATATATATATATATATATATATATATATATATATACACAATCAGACTGAAATTTTTATGTCTACTTGTCTTATACACATTTCAATATATGATAAACAGTATTATTTTTATATACACAACTTTTTCCTAGTTAATTCTGGCATTCTCACATTGTAACAAATTTCAAATCACTCAAAGTGACATCATTTAAACAGTTAAAATGGAATTTATATGTGAATTCTTTTTATATACACTTCAATTGAGTGACTTGGGAATGCTGGAATTAACCAGAAATAGTTACATATGTAAAAAAAATGTTTATTATACATTGAAGTGTGTATAAAAAATAAATTTCTGTTTGACCATTTACATGACAACACCTTGTGTGACTTGAAATTGGTTCCAACATGAGAATGCCAGAATTAACTAGAAATATATATATATATATATATATATATATATATATATATATATATCCTATTATGAAATAATGTAACTATTTGTATCTGTCCATACAACTATAAGCATAAAGAAGACTGAGCTAATGCACCAGGCAATCCATCTCTCACAAATCCTTCCATATTCATTGATGGCATGGCATTAAAAACTTTTGTGGCATTCACATATCTTGGATCAACAGTCTCTTCTGATGGAAGAGATGGACAGAGAAATCCAATCTAGATTAGCTAAAGCCAGTACAACATTCGTTAAACTTAAACATAGATTATGGAATACCAAAGATGTGTCTCTCAGAGTAAAGATCGACATACTGATCAGTCATTTTCTCAACCATCCTCTATGGTGCTGAAACTTGAACCCTGTACAGCAAGCACATAAATCAACTTAACACCTTTCACATGCACTGCCCTCATGCCATATGTGATATAAAATGGGATGACAGGGTTAAGAATAGTGCAAAACTGAAGAAATGTAACATCACAAGCACTGAAACCATTCTAGCATTAAGATACAACTTAGGTTGGCTGGTCATGTTGTGAGAATGGATGAGCATAGGCTTCCAAAGAAGATGCTGTATGGACAACTACCAAACTCCAAGTGTTCAGTTGAATGTCTACTTTTACGCTATGAAGACAAATTGAAAAACAACTTGAAATATCTCAACTTTGATCGGAAAACCTGGGAAGTCAAAGCATCAGAACAAAGGGAGTGGCATAAGACATGTTTCATTAAGTTAAAGGGTTTTGAAGAGAGTAGATTGAAGCTTTGTGATCAACTTCGTCAAGCTCTGAAGCAGAGACACCATCAAAATCCTGCTTTAATAAATTTCATCTGTCAGTGTGGCTTTGTTGCCCACAGCAAGGCTGGGCTAGTATCACACAAATGAGATATGTCTTTCCCTTACCTGATTTTCTCCACAATAGCACCTGCTAGCATGCATAAGTGTAAAACAAAATCACCAGCCAATGCTGACCCTCATATATCATTCATGATAAGAGAGTCCATCATATATAATTAAAAATTAAGTCTGGCAAAAAGTGATATTTGCCAAAAAAGGGCTAAATTAAGAGAGTCCTCAATACAATTTTCATAAAATGAAAATGTAGGACAAATTAAGATATAAAATATTCGAAACATTGACGTTTATGAAACCACAGTTTCTACCATCTTGATAGAAATCATATTGCATAAAGGTCAGTGTTTCAAATATTATATATATATTTGATAATGTCATTTTGTTTGATTTAATTCAATAATATAACATTTATTAAATGTAAGTATATATTGATATGTGTTGGTTTTGAGTATTAGTAATTTTATTTTGTTTGTATTTATACTGATATACAAGCCTATACATAAAAAACCTGAAGAAACCCGAACATGATTAGTTATTGTGAGAAACTTGCATAATTAACTATTGTTATTGTAATTTTTCATTTAAAGTTATAAATGCAAGATGGTCATTTGACTCTTCAATTGTTGTGAGGAACTCAGATTGACAGTTGTAACTGTAGAATAAAAATATGAAAGTTAGAGTAGAAATATATGTTTATAAAATAAATTTTCTGTGATCAATAGTCAATTGTGTCAAGAGTTGCAACAAATAATTAAGAATTGACAAAACTGAGTAGATCTTTGATAAGTGTTGAAAAATTGTATATATATATATATATATATATATATATGATGAAATATAATTTTAAGGTATGCTATATTTATGGGCTAAAGTTCTCAATATCAGGGCTAGAGCATATGTAAATATAAAAAATGAACATTGAAGTCAATACTCAGAGGCAACTGTTTGTTTCATGCTAAATGCAATCATCAGGCCTGGTGATTGCATTTAACATGAAACAGACTGTCTCCTCTGGGTGTTGACTTCAATATCTACTTCCATATATATATATATATATATATATATATATATATATATATATATATATATATCCAGGTAATGGTTATAAGTATGCTGAAAGCAAGTACATAAAATCTGATAACATTGTTCTAAGGAAAAGAAATCGGAATAGGAAAATCATTTGGTACACCCCCCCATTTAACCAATTGGTCAATACTAAGTTAAATCAGAAGTTCCTCCATTTAATTGATAAATATTTCCATAAAAGTAACCCTCTTTGTAAAATGTTTAACAGAAACACACTAAAACTAAATTGTAGCTGCATTGATAATCTTAAGATTATAAAGAATCACAAAATTTTAAAGCAGTTTAAAAATTTGGATAATAATGCACATTCCAAGATAAATACTGTTGATAATATTAACTAATGTAATTGCAAGAATTCTAACAAATGCCCATTACGAAACAAATGTTTAACCAATTGTCTTGTTTATCTAAGTACTATTTCTACAATAGAGAATCTGACAGTAGAAAAATTTTATATTGGTTGTACTAAGAATTCTTTTAAGACTAGGTGGTACATATCTTATACTTCACTAATAGTACTTATAAAAATAATACATCTCTTTCTAAATATTTTTGGAATTTAAATGAAGCTAATAAAACTCCTTAGATAAAATGGAAAATTTAAAAAAAGCTAGAACATGTAAATCTTTAAAGGAACCCTGTTTTCTATGTTTACATGAAAAATTAGAAATTATGAGATTTCCTGATAAAAATTCTTTATTAAACAAAGAAGTGAATTGACTGTAATTTGTAGGTCTAGTCTATCTTTTACCTTACAATATATTTAAACTTTGAATTTGATAATACTTTTTCTTATAGTAATTATCAGTAGATGAACTGCAGTGAACCTAATAAGGCTTACTATTCTATTTGTAAGATTCATTTTGATTTAATATAGCTCTGTATTGATATCTAGTTAGTATTATTAACATCTTATATGCAAGTACAGGTGTTTAGTTAGTATTATTAGCATTATACATTGATTAGTTAGTGTTATTAGTTGTTATTATATGGATGCTCTTTACTTAACGGTTACATATTAATTTGCCAAAGTAATTTTGTATTTATGATCTGTTTTTTTTTCTAAACGATTATCTACCAGCATCTTAAAAAGGCCTTTAATTTATCAATTACAAAATTTTATGTAAGAAGCTGACCAAGTATATAACTAGTTAGCGTTTTGTTAAATTACTTCCCTATCTCTTTTGCTTTTACTTCTTAGTAAAGTTGAATGCCAGACTTCTATACATCTTAGGAAATAATGTAACCATTTGTATCTATCCATAATGAAATTGTCTAGAATTTATGTGCAGACAACTCCATGTTGTGACCTATTTAAAAACATTTTTTGGTGAGCTTGAATATACCATAGGTCACATTCAATTGGTTAGTCATGGTAAAGCCACAAGCCTATCTATATTTAAAAAAAAAAGTAAGTATTCTGCTTTTGAAATTAATTGTTCACTCACCAGTAGTTTACCATCACCCGAGGACACACATTTGTAGTGTTGAAACATAATTGCAATTGTGTAGTGATTTTTAACATGTTTTTTTTTAATATCCTAAAATAATCCAGCATCATTTCCATTCATGGAAGCATTCGTGGAAGTCCTTTTTTGGGATAAGAAGCAGCCTTCTTGTTATGGGTAAATTTGCTCAATATCAGAGACAGAGAATATATATATATCTGTCAGGACACATGGTCCAGTGGATAAAAGTGTTGGTTGAATCCAGTGACTTAATCCAAAGAGTTGTGAGTTCAATACCTGGCTACAGCAGAATTGAACAGAAACTTGGAGAATTGAGTTAAAGGGAGATAACTGATACTAAGACATCCAACCACCTGAAGAAGGACAACAGTCTGATTAATGTAAATAATCATTCTCAGGGTTCAAATTTTCCATAAATTTTATCCAATCAGTCAAAATTTAATTATTGATGGCAGGGGTACATCCTTTACATGATTTAATCATCATTGCTGGTCTCATGGGAGGCCTTTTTTAAATGCATAGAAAATAAAATAAAAGAGACAAATGGAACAGAAATATATTGATTAATTTAAATTTTTTTTTATCAGTAAAGTTAAAAAAATATGAAAATAATTTTATGATCACAATTCAATAACAAAGCTCTACTTACATCAGATTTTCCAAGTGTTTTATTTGCAACTGTCAGCTCTGTGGGGCATGTATCCTCAGTGTTGGATAATGGAAGAGTACTGTTAGCATCAGAGTAAAGAGAAGTTGATGCAGGCATTGTGGACATAACTGCTGTGTGGTTGACCATGCACACAACAGCTACAGACATATTCACACGGATTGTGTACACATTAACAAATCCAAGAAAGCCCAGAATTGCCAGCAGAAAGCGATATGAAGTCCAGAATGGCACTAAAAAAATAAAAGAAAACATTTTTGAAAATGGCATAAGAGTTATTAAGTATTCTTCATATAGATATTTAAAGAAATGCAATGCCATGCAAAGGATGTATGTCCTATAGTGGCCATCATCACAACAGGTGAGATTTGGGAGCCAAGCTCAAATTTTGACCAATTCTATTGCATTCACTTTTGTTCAAATACTTTTGGGAAAGTTATGAATTGATTTCTTTTCCTCCTAGCTATGGGATAAATAGCAGAGTAGACTGAGTTCTTTAGCCTTGGTTGGCAACCAATTTAACAGAAGGAAAACTATGAATATCAAAACTGAGGAGAAAGCAATGGGAAACCACTATTATCTTTCCCAAATTACAAATAACAAAGAAAAGAAGAGCCATAATTGCCAACACCCTGAAGGGATAAGGTATTGCCAATTCTCAGATAATAAAGAAAAGAAATCTGTGGAGAGCCATGACTGTCTATGCCCTATGTCAGTATGTTAATTTCTAAATCCTGTTAATGACCATCTATGAACAAGGAAAACTATTGAGTATACATATGTTATATATGCTTCTGTTTACTGAGTATATATATATATATATATATATATATATATATATATATATATATTAGTTTCCAGTGGTGAAATTGTTATTTTTGCAAGCTAAAATACATTAGGACATGATGTGGTAGATTTGTCTGTGATATATATCACAAGGTCAATGCAACTTGTGTGACTAAAGTTATGTTTAGTTCGAGCCCTTCTAAGAATATCAAGATGAGTTTTATGAGTATCCAATATGCAAAATATTATTTTTAAAACTTGGGTCTTTTAATCTCCTTTCATTGTAATCCTTTAAAATGTCTCAGAAAATTTTGTCATCTTTATTATCTTCTTCATGTGCTGTGTTCCTTCATGATGTAGGTGATCATGATTTTCTACAATTTTCTGCCCCTTGTAGCTCTTAATAAACTTTGCCTTTCTGTTATTTCTCCTAAGGTTTGTTATTACATCCTTTTACTCAAGTTCATTATATATATAATACATTTTCTCCCTGTTTTCCTCTTGCCCTCTATCTGTCCTGGGAGTATCAAATTTTCCAAGCTCTCCTTCTTCACTATATGCCCTAGAAACCTCAACTGTTTCTTCCTGATATTAATTATTAGTTTTCTTTTTGTTTCCATTTTCTCTAAAACTTCACTGTTGCTCACATGTTCTGTCCTCAGCATCATCAGCATCCTTCTGTAGAACCACATTGCTTCAAGTCTCCTCTTCATCTTTGAGGATTCATCCAATGCTGACTGCCATACAGGAGGACATATCACAGCAGTTTAGTACTTTTTTCCATGTTTCTAGCAAAATTTTCATTTTTCTTAGTACTCTGCTTAGCTTTTGGAATGCTTCCTTGGCTACCCCAATATGCCTTCGGATTTCAATGTTGCTCTTTTGGTCACTGTCGAAACATATATTTCTGATGATTTTAAAATGAAGAAAAAATAACATGAATTTTTTTTTTAAATGAAAAATGTTCTTCCATACCCAAATCACCTTGGTTAAGAAAAACTAGCATGAGTCAAAAATTTAACAAAAGATTGTAACCTACATTTGGAAGAATTCATGCAGCACAGTTTTGACTGTGAAATTAAAGAAAAGTTGAACAATGTTTGAGGGTTTTCTTTTCAAATTGGTATTATGTACACTTCACTAAATATCATACTTCATTGTGGAAGAAAGCAACAACTATGGAAAACATTATCTTACAAAGTACTTGTGTGAAGTTCACAGTATCTACATACACTAATTTTAGCAGAAAACAGAAAAAAAAAGCAGGGTTTTAAAATAAAAGGGACATCTGCAATTTCTTTCTCTTCTAGCGAGACCTAATTTTTAGGAGAAACCTAACCTATATGTGGGTGGACTGGATGTCTTTCACTCAAAATTCTTTTGTGGCAAACACAATAGTGTCCACTTACGAAAAAAAAAACAATGACCTCTGATTCATTTCTGAGATATGAACAAAAACACCATGTGTCTATCAGAGTTCCATTACGTTGAAAGTAGGTAATAATTAGTACTTAATATTCTGATGATCATATAATGAATTCCACCACTTTTTTATAATCAAGTGTAATCTTGTTAAAATGATTGGAGACAGTTTTTTGTGTAATGTAATTGTTATCATGAATAAGTGTTTAGATGTAGGAATTTAATTCAGAACTATTCAGTGATTTTGTTTGAAATATTTGTCTGACTTCAGAGTTTCCATTTTTTGCTTTATTATTTCACCCTAATTAAGCCGATAAAGCCACTAAGGATTACTGAGTGTGAGAGAATATGAGAAAAAACATTATTAAGGAGAGAAACAATAAAAAAAATAGGAGATAAGAAAAAAAAAGATAAAGACTGACATTGCATTTAATTTTTTAAAGGTCAAAGTTTACTGGAAAGCAAGAAGCCAGAAGGGAGTTTCACAAATGAGAAGTGCAAGAGAAGAAATTGTTAACATAGAACTTATGGTTACAGATAGTTGTTTCAAATGTAAATGTATGAGACCTTGCTGCCAATCTAATACTGCACTTAAATTCATAAAGTCTAGGTATCAAAGAGGAAATCTCAACTGAAGAATTACCATGAAAGTATTTATAGAAAAAGGCACAAAGAATGTATGTTACAGTGGTTGGAAAGTGACTGAAACAAAGATGACATGTCAAGACCAATATCATTGCAGATTATTCTTTGTATTTTATCAAGAATCTCTAAATACCTAACAGAAGCACCAGACTAAATGTGGCAGAAATATTCAATGCATGGCTGAATAGTAGACTTATAAATGTGTAAGATTTTATTTGCTTTAAATTTAACTTATTTGTAAGAATTTTGTACATGTGTTTCATTATAGATACAAATTAGGCATGTATGCTGATAATAAGGTTTTCTAAACAGGAAAAAAATGGAAACAATATTTTTAGAAGCAAAATAAGAGTTCCAGGTGCATGATTTACATGAAAGTGATAGGTCTACTTCTAAGGAAAAGATTCTGGAAAATTGGTCGGTTCTCTGTACCACTCCAGTAAGTACCTGACTCTTCCTGCTATTCTCTATCTTTACAAGAACAAGATTAAGCAAAAAAAATGGAGTACCTTTGCCATATATGGGCAAGAGATACCCAGTCTTCATTTTCCAGTCTCGGTAGTCTCTGCACCCTTGTGGGTAACAAATCAATCACAGACAAAACATTGCAAGCATCTGACTTTTATTTCACTATTCCCATAGAATGTGTTCAGATGAACTACATTTCTTAGTTCTACCAGTTTTAAACTTCATGAGTAAGACCTATTATTCAATGCACTATACTCATTCCTTTTGTATTCCATTGGTGAGATGTAAGTTTCACTTGAGCAGCTTCTTCCTGCAATTTGCTGTTTAGTGCAACCAACTCCCAAGAGGATACTTCTCTGATCACTTAATCTTAACCTGTTCAAGTCTCTTCCCCACATATCCATATAATCTGTGCCTCTTACTCTGTAACCCTCTACTTTGAGTGGCTGTTGGACCTTGTACAGTGTGAACATCATTGTAAAAAAGAAAACTTATATAAAATTTAAGTTCACAATTTTTTCCTGTATACTAATTAAGGTGTGCATCATAAGATCAGCAACCTCTCGTTTTTAGAGGATGTGACAGGGTTATAGGGTAGAAAAATTTCAAAATTCTTCAATTTAGTTGAGAAAGGTCATAAAGATTTTGTATTGATCATGAAGATTATCTGGGGAATAATATTTGGAGGATCTGTGTATTTTTTAATTGTGTGTGTGTGTGTGTGTGTGTGTGTGTGTGTGCGTGCATACCTATCATCGCATGAGTGGGTGTATTCATATCTTGCATCTAAATAAGTCAGCCTGTGTGACGCAAGTTTTTTTTTGCTTATTTTATTCTAAAACTGTGTAAGAAATCCATATGAAAATTACAAGGACGTTTTTTTCACTTAGCAGTAATGAAAGAAACAACTAAAAAGCATCCCAAAACTGATGTAGAGAGAAAATGTCTTCAACAACAGTGCCAGAAGAAAAAGGATCCTGAATATTAAAAGGAATGAGAATAAAAGCATTAAGATACTGTAGTAAAGGAAATATACCAATAGTTTTATAGATTAGGCAAAAGTGTTTGATAAAGATATGTTTGTATTGCTAGGTATTGATTTATGTGGGAAGGATAATCCAGAATTTATATTGGAAACAAAAAAACTTGCATACAGATAGAAAAAAAGAAGTCATTAAATGTTTGACAAAAGATGTTGAACTACAACTGGAACAACATAATCTTGATTGTGAGACTAGATAAGCAATACAGACGTTGAGAGTTTTCCTTTCAAATAGATATTATGTACATTTCATTAAGTATCAAAAACTTCATTAATGTATATAAAGATGGAAGAAAGCAACAGCTATGGAGATGTTACCATACAATGTACTTGTGTGAAGTTTTCAGTGCTTTTAAGGCACAACAAACTTAAATCACCATTAATTTATCAGTCATTTTTAAGCTAAGACCTAAAAATGTCCTTTTATTTAACACACCTTTGTGCTGAAGCAACTTGGAGAACCTCACTTTAATTTCAGCTTATTGGAAAGGTAAATGTCAAGTATGTTCAGGAAGGAAGGAAAAAAAACAGCAAGTAAAAATGAAAAAGAAATAAATAGTCATGAAGTATAAAAGAGAGGAAGCAAGAAAGTAAGAAAAAATTAAACAAGAAAGAAAGAAAGAGAAGGAAAGAAAGGGAAACAGCAAGATAGGAAGAAAGAAAAATAGCAAGAATGAGAAAAAGAAAAAAACAAGCAAGAAAGAAAAATAGGAAGAAAGAATAAAAAATATTGAGAAAGAAAAACAGCAATTAAGAACAAAAATAA